TTTCAAGGCTATCAAAGTCATGAGGAACTGAGGGACCCAGATCCCAGGCAGAAAGGGGCTTCTAAAAGGCTAATGGTCCATTCAGAGATTTTTGCCCTATCAAAGAACTAGGAACAAAAATAGTTGTCCCCCTCCCAAGAGGGAAAGAGTTCTGGTTAATACTCAGGATTTCAGATTTTAAAGGGCTACCCAGGTAAGGAGAAAAAAAAACTAAATAATTAAAAAACAACAACAGAAATAAAATAGACTTAGTCTCAATCCCAAAAAGGTGACCTGCCTGCCAGGAAAATATATTAAATTCACTCTGGAGAAAGACAACATCATTCAGTCTCAATTTTTCATACACAAAACCATTTTTTAAAAAAAGTTTTTCAACGATTTTATTTATTTATTTATTTGGCACACAGAGAGAGATCACAAGCAGGAAGAGAGGCAGGCAGAGAGAGAGGAGGAAATAGACTCCCTGCTGAGCAGAGAGCCCGATGTGGGCTTCAATCCCAGGACCCTGAGACCACGACCCGAGCCGAAGGCAGAGGCTCAATCCACTGACCACCCAGGCGCCCCAAAACCCATTTTTTTCCATTTTATTTTATTTTATTTCTTTTCAGTGTTCCAGCATTCATTGTTTATGCACCACATTTTTAATAGAATTATGAGACATGTCAAGAAAAAATGAGCAAATAGCAAAAAACAAAGAGCAAACTTAGCCCATAGAAATAGACTCAAGGTAGATTTTAAAAATTGGGATTATCAGGCATGGAATGTTAAATAACTACGGTTAAACCCACTCAGGAAACTTAATTACAAGATGTAGAATTTTGGCCAAGAACTAGAATCTATTTAAAAATCCAACGGAAATTGTAGAACTAAAAAATACAATAAATGAAGTGAGTATTTCTGCAAAACGAAAACCATTTGACCAAGCATTTGGGGAGCTTAGCAACTGTATTTTATGAAAATAAATGATTTCAAGAAAGGGTGGCCTCACAGAATTCCCAGAAAGGAGTGGCTTTCCAGAATTTTATGATTCCTATCTCATCCCTACTTTCCCACACCTACCTCCAGAGTAGCTGCTAAATTCCTCCCCTTCTTTGAGTGGAGCACTTCCAAAGGCCCACAGGCTCCCAGAGTCTCTTTCCTTCTTATGAAAAGAATCATGTTAAATTTTCTTTTCTTGGGTTTGTTTCAAAGATGAATGCTTTGTGACATGGATCTTTCCTTTCATTATTGACCACCCCCTGTATATGAACAAGGTATAGACCATACTAGACACTCAGAAAAATGGTTATTGACTGAAAGTATAAATGAATTAAAGAATGAAAAGAGTCTTTTGCATAATAAAAAAGAACTGACTCAAATACTTTTTTAAAAAAATTTTTGATCTGTTACTATTTTGGCACATACTGAAAAGCTTGTCTAAACTTTGTACAAAAATGAGGTTGGAAAACACCTTCCAACTTTTTTTTTTTAAGATTTTATTTATTTGACACAGAGAGAGAGATCACAAGTAGGCAGAGAGAGAGGAGGAAGCAGGCTCCCTGCTGAACAGATAACCCAATGCAGGGATCGATCCCAGGACCCTGAGATCATGACCTGAGCCAAAGGCAAAGACTTAACCCACTGAGCCGCCCAGGCTCCCCACCTTCCTACTATTTTGTAAAAGCCAGCTCATTTGATTTTGGTGTAATGAGCAGATGTAATGATTTCTCACAAATTTCATTTGTGTGATACAATGGGAAATAATAGTACCTTTTTTGTAACTTCTACTCTTTCAAAGTGGGAGAATAATACACATGCAAAACCCGTGCAAATATTAAACACCCAGGTCAATAATTATCAAAAAGTGAACTCACCTCTGGGAGCACCACCAAGATCAAGAAAAGGAGTATTACCAGCATCTTAAATAGCACCATCCTCTTTCCTCCCAATCACTACACCTCTCTCCTCCAGAAACAGCCACTTTATAACTTCCAGTTCCATAAATTAGTTTTGCCTCTTTCATAATCTACTTAAATACAATCATACAATTACATATCTTTTAAAGTTGCATTGCATTGTGGATTTGCATAAGCTCATTTTCTCTAAAACGTTTCCTGAAAAACAATCTATTACTAATATTGTATAGGTAGATGACAGATAGATAGATGATAGATAGATAGATAGACAGATAAGACATAGATATTTAGACACAGATACAGATCTATAATTCTGTAAACAAAACTGTTAGCTGAGAGGATAAATATTGTAACAGATTATACTATGTACTGTCAGCCAATGAGGGTTGGTTGTATCAGTCAGAGTCCCATGAAGAAATAGAAATTCACTTAGATGAGATTTAAAAAATTTAAAAAAAATTTTTTTTAATAAACATATAATGTATTATTAGCCCCAGGGGTACGGGTCTGTGAATTGCCAGGTTTATACACTTCACAGCACTCACCATAGCACATACCCTCCCCAATGTCCATAACCCCACTACCCTCTCCCTACACCCTTCCCCCGGGCCACCCTCAGTTTGTTTTGTGACATTAAGAGTCTCTTTTGGTTTTTCTCCCTCCCAATCCCATCTTGTTTCATTTATTCTTTTCCTACCCCCTTAACCCCCCCCACCCCCGTTGCATCTCCACTTTCTCATATCAGCAAGATCATACGATAGTTGTCTTTCTCTGATTGACTTATTTCACTAAGCATAATACCCTCTAGTTCCATCCACGTCATCGCAAATGGCAAGATTTCATTTCTTTTGATGGCTGCATAGTATTCCATTGTATATATATACCACTAGATGAGATTTTTAAAAAAGATTTTATTTATTTATTTGACAGAGAGATAGAGACCAAGAGAGCACAAGTAGAGGGAATGACAGAGGGAGAGGGAGAAGCAGATTCTCCACTGAGCAGGGAGCCCGATATAGGGCTTGATCCCAGGCCTCTGGGATCATGACCTAAGCTGAAGGCAGTTGCTTAACCATTTCAGCCACCCAGGTGCCCCCTTAGATGAGATTTTTAAGGGAATTTAATAACACTTAGCACAAGTGTAGGCAACATTAAAGGATGCAACAAGGGATGTAGAAGGGTCCAGAGACTTACAAAAATGGGCAGCATTTCCCAATCCCAGTCCTGAAGATAAGGAAGAGAGAAAACAGTATGTTGGGAGTCCATTGTGAACTGGCCACAGAAGAACCTCCTGACAGGAGGTGTACAACAATTACCAGAATCAAGATTCTGAAGCAGAAGTGAATGAGCAAGAATCCTCCCCAGGTTTTCCTTCTCCACAGCTTCTGATGTTAAACCCAACAGGGGCCCAGAGTAGCAGAGAGCCCCAGTGATGCAACACAGTCCACGGAGTAATGTTCACAGCCTCCCTACCACTCCTGAGAAAAGCAAAACAGAGCAAAAGGTTAAGAATGTCACTAACGGAATTCAAATATGGGGCAGGAAAAATAAAACAGTAGAAAAAAAATTAATGAAACCTGGAATTGGTTCTTCGAAAAAAATCAGCTACGTTGGCAAGCCGTTGATTGATTGAGGGAGAAAAAAGGGATGAGACTCAATTTACCAAAATTGGGACTGAAAGAGAGGATCTTACTACATAATGAAATAGAAAATATTCTAAGGCAATGCTACAAACAATTTTTTAAAGATTTTATTTATTTATTTGTCAGGGAGAGAGAGAGTACAAGCAGGGGAGCAACAGAGGGCGAGGGAGAAGCATGTTCCCCTCTGAGCATGGAGCCCCACATAGGTCTCCATCCCAGGACCCTGAGATCATGACCTGAGCCAAAGGCAGATGCTTAACCAACTGAGCCACCCAGGAATCCCTTTAAACGATTTTATGCCAACAAATTACATAGCCTAGATGAAATGAAAAAATTTCTAAAAAGACACAAATTACTGAAACTGGTTCAAGTAGAAATAGGAGTTAATGAAATGAAAGATTTAAAAAAAAACAGAGAAGATCAAAAGTTGTTTTTTTTTAATGATCAACAAAATAGACAAAACTCTACCTAAATTTTTAAAGTTTTATTTAAATTCAATTAATTAACATATAGTATATAATTAGTTTCAGAGTTAGAGTTTAGTAATTCATCAGTTACATATAACACCCAGTGCTCATTACAGCAAGTGCCTTCCTTAATGCCCATCACTCTGTTACCCCATCCCCCCACCCACCTCCTCTCCAGCTACTCTCAGTTTGTTTCCCACAGTTAAGAGTCTCTTTGGTTTGTCTCCTTCTCTGGTTTCACCTTATTTTATTTTCCCTCCCTTCCCCTGTGATCCTGTTTTTTGTTAATTCCACAAATGAGTGAAATCACATGACAATTGTTTTTCTCTGATTTATTCCACTTAGCTTAATACCCTCTAGTTCCATCCATGTCACTTCAAATGGTAAGATTTCATTTTTTTGATGATAGATAGAAGATAGATAGATAGATGATAGACACGCGCGCGCCACATCTTCTTTATCCATTCATCTGTCAATGGACATCTGGGCTCTTTCTATAGTTTAGCTATTGTGGAAATTGTTGCTGTAAACATTGGGGTGCACATGACCCTTCGGATCACTATGTTCATACTCTTTGAGTAAATACCCAGCAGTGCAATTTCTGGGTCATAGGATAGCTCTATTTTCAACTTTTTAAGAAGCCTCCAAACTGTTTTCCAGAGTGGCTCTACCAGTTTGCATTCCTACCAGCAGCATAAGAGCTTTCCCCCTTCTTCACATCTCACCAACACAGGTTGTTTGCTGACTTGTTAATTTTAGCCATTCTAACTGGTGTGAGGTGGTATTTCATTGTGGTTTTGATTTGTATTTCCCTGATTCTGAGTGATGTGGGGCGTTTTTTCATGTGTCTGTTGGTTATTTGTATGTCTTCTTTGAAGAAATGTTCATGTCTTCTGCCCATTTCTTGACTGGATATTTGGTTTTGGGGGGTATTGATTTTGATAACTTCTTTTTTTTTTTTTAAGATTTTTTTTTTTATTTATTTATTTGACATGATTTTGATAACTTCTTTATAGACTTTGGGTATTAGCCCTTTGTCTGACAAGACATTGCAAATATATTCTCCCATTCTGTAGATTGTCTGTTAGTTTTGTTGACTGTTTCCTTTGTTGTGCAAAAGGTTTTTATCTTGATGAAGTCCCAATAGTTAACTTTTCCTTTTATTTCCCTTGCCTTTTATGATGTGTCTAGCAGGAATTTGCTGTGGCCAAAGCCAAAGAGGTTGCTGCGTATGTTCTCTTCTAGGATTTTGATGGATTCTTATCTCAAATTTAGGTCTTTCATCCATTTTGAAAACTCTACCTAATTTAACAACAAAAAAAGAGGACTCAAATTGCTAAAATCAGAAATGGAAAAAAGGGACATCACTACTGACCTTGTAGAAATAAAATGAATTATAAGAAAAATGAATTAAAAGGAAATACTGTGAACAACTGTATGCCAACAAATTACTTAACTAAAATAGACAACTTTCTAGGAAGACAAAAACTACCAAAGCTGACTCAAGAAAAACTAAAAAATTAAGATAGACTTATGACAAGTAAAGAGATTATATTAGTAACAAAGAAAACAAACAAAAATCCCACAGAGGAAATCCCAGGAGCAGATGGCTTCACTGGTGCAGACTATCAAACAACAGAGTATTAATTAAAAATTAATACTAATTCTTTGACAATTAAAAAACAATAGAAGGAAATACTCGTCAACTTTTTTTATAAGGTTTATACATCAAATTCATCACAAGAAAACTATAGATTAATATCTCTTTTAAATGTAGATATAAAAATTCTCAACAAAATATTAGCAAATTGAATTTGATATATAAATATAAGTATAAATATATAAAATATATTTGACTGATATAAATATAAATATATTTTAATTGATATATAATTGAATTGAATGGAATTTATATATACATACATATATATGTGTATATATATATATATATATGTAAATATAAATATGTAAAAAGGATTCTGTATCATGACTGTATTGGTCAGGGTTATCCAGAGAAACAATAAAACTCCCTTTCTCCCCTCCTCTCTGTATATATATACAGAGAGCAAGCTGGTGACTCAGGTGAGCTAATAGTGTAGTTTTAGCCCAAAAGCCAGCAGGCTCAAGATTCAAGAATAGATGATGTTTCAGTTTAAAATGAATGCAAAAGAAGACTAATGTCCAAGCTCAAATAATCAGGCAGGAGGAATTCCCTCTTACTTGTGGGGGAGTCAGGATTTTTGTTCTATTCAGGCTTTCAACTGATTGGATGAGGGCCACGAACATTAGGAAGGGAAATCTGTTTTACTCCATCTACCATTCAAATATTAATCTCATCTAAAAACACTTTCACAGTATACCCAGATAAATGACCAAATATCTGGGCACCCAGGGCTCCATGAAGTTGACACATAAAATTAATCATCGCCAAGTCTACCCCCTGTCAATATGTTATCCATGCACATCTACTTAACCCAAACTTAATCTCCAAATGAAGACAATAACAAGGTCATAATTCTGCCTACCATTATACAATCATCCTGTGTACAACTGAAAACACAGTAACCCTTCCCCAGAAGAAGGGATGATACTTACTTTAAGTCCTTGAATGATGTTTACACTTCTCCTTGATATCCTATAATTTAAGTAGTATGGTGTAAAATTAGTAACAAATAATGTATGATATATGGCCAACACATCTTATGTTACATGATAAGTAAATAAGAGAGGAACGAACACACACACACACACACACACACACACACACTCTCTCTCACACACATATTCATAAGAAATAAGGAGAAAATACTCATGACAATTATAATCCTTGTTTCTGTAACTTGTTATGTGGTCATAGCTGATATTTATACCTACCTTCTTCTACTCATTCGTATTCTCTTTGCTTTCAGCAAGCACCTCAAGTGGTTGTTATTCTTTACCTGGTGAGATCACCCAAAACTTTATTCTTAAAAGATCTTGGGCCATTAATAGGGTTTATGTTGCTATAGTTTTCCATTGACCTTAATCACAGGGTATAGTAATACTAAGAGACACCCTAAGGCATCTCCTGTTCCTTCTTTCCCTTCTTGGTGGATGAGTAGTCCAATTTCTCCATGGTAGTCAATATCAATCACTTTATTATTTTTTTATTTTTTTAAAGATTTTATTTATTTATTTGACATGGGGTGGAGGGAGAGTGTGCAAGTGAGCACAAGCAGTGGGAAAGGGAGAGGGAGAAGCAGTTTCCTCATTGAGCAGGAAGCCCAATGCAGTGCTTGATCCCAAGACTCTGGGATTATGATATGAGCTAAAGACAGATGCTTAAAACCGACTGAGCCACCCGGGTACTCCTCAATCACTTTCGATAGCACAGTAACTCCCTTCTTTGTCTATTGATCCAGAGGCATGAGGAATGAAAAGTGGCCAGGTAGCAGCCTTAACTTTTAGTTCAATGGAATCATTGTTGCATTTCCTAGTAGGAGCACTCTTGTCTTTGGAACTAAGACTTCTAGGCCAGCAGAGCATAAATTCATGGGAACAGGAAGAAAAGCCTTGCTAGTGGATCACTAGGGCTAATAGTGAGTAGAGCTCATTCCATTTCCATTCCTTGATTCCTGGACCCATGTAGTCTGGCTGTGGGAGAAACAGAACCATATATTGGTCAGTGGTTCAGACCATGTATCTCCTCTTGGAGAACTTTGCCCCAGCTGTGCGAGGTATTGTCACCTAGCTGGCACTGTAACTGAGTCTTCAAAAGGGGATTCCACCATTCTATCAAGCCAGCTGCTTCAGGATGGTGAGAGACATGTTAAGACTAGTGAATTCCATGAGCATGGACCCATTGCTGCAATTTATTTGCTGCAAAGTGAGTTCCTTTATCAGAAAGTATCAGAGGTAATACTATGTAGGATGCCTTGACAGTGGATAAGACATTTTGTATATCCAGTTGGTAGTTTGGGAAGAAATGCTGTGAGCAAGGAAGGCAAATCTATATTTAGAGTATTTATTTCCAGTAAGAACAAAATGCTGCCCCTTCCATTGATTGAAGTGGCCCAGTGTAATCTACTTCCCACCAGGTGGTTGGCCAATTACCCCAGACAGTGGTGCCATATCAGGGACTCAATGTTGGTCCCTGCTCCTGGCAGATTGGACACTCAGCTGTTGACATAGCCCAGTTAGCCTTGGTAAGTGAAAGCCCATGTTGCTGAGCCCATATGTAATCTCCACCCCAGTGACCATGGGATGTTCATAAGTTCACTGAGCAATGACAGAGGTTCTTGGGGAAAGAGACTGACCAATATCCATAGAATGGGTCATCTATCACTTTGATTATTTAATTATTGATTATTTAATGTTCCTTCCAAGTCCCTGACAATCCAACCAAATCATTGACCACAACCCACGAATCAGTACAAAATCACACATCTGGCCATTTTTCCTTCAAGGCAAAGTGAGTAATTGGGTTTGCTTGTTGAAGTCCTATCCTGGAAAGATTTCTATTTACCACTGTCCTTCAGGAACCCTTGCAAAAAGCTATGGCTCTCTGCTCTTGAGTCATGCCTATGGATTGTGAAGAATATCTGTAAATCAGGCCCCAGTCTTTTCTTCCTCTGTCAACTGATTATTGGGAATTCTCCATAAGGACATTGGTATTAGCAAGGAGAAGGCAATATAGCAGAAATGGGGACCGTGGGCATTTGGGTCACTTATTCATGTAACTTATTTGTGCCTCTAAGGCCTGCTCGGGCCTGATCATATATATACCATTTCCATTAGATGATGGAATGCTGTTGCACATGCCTAACTTTATGATTTTGTGGGTCAGATAACACCCAGTTCATCATAGGCACCTTGGGTCACATGCTAAATTTCTGGCTCGTGATTAAGAATGAGGTCTCTACTAAGACCAGGTCAAGAGTTGCATCTTAGTCAGCAGATAGTACATCATTAGTTTTTATGCGTGTTCAACAATTCATTAGTTGTGTTTAATACCCAGTGCTCATCGCCATACAGTCCCTCCTTAATGCTGGCTAATTGAACATAATTTTTTAAAAAGTTGCATCTTAGAAGGAGAGCAGTTATCCAAGAGGGTGGTAAGGCTTTGGTAAAAAATACTAAGGGCTTGCACTACAGTTTACACATTGACTTGCCAAAGGCTCCAAACCCCATCCCTATCTGTCACTGAACTTTCAAGTACCACTGGACCTTCGGAATCATATGGCCTAAGTGGCAGAGCAGCCTATACAGAAGCCTGGACTTGATTCAGAGCCTTCTTTTGTTCTGGGCATTTCTTAACACTAGCCCTTGTCTTGGAATTCCAGTCTCCAGAACTATGAAAAATAAATTTCTGTTGTTTTAAGCTATTGTCTATAGTATTTTGTTATGGCAGCCTGGGCTAACAAAGACAAGCTTTTGTACCAGGAGTTAGGTGCTGCTATTACATATACCTAAAAATGTGGAAATGACTTTGAAATTAGGTAATGGGTAGAAAGTGAAAAGTTTTGAGGTACATACTAAAAATATGGATGTTACAGGCAATTCTGGTGAAGTTTTAGAAATGAGGAACATATTTTTGGAAACTGGAGGAAAGATGATTCTTGCTATAAGGTAGGAAAGAACTTGGCTGAACTGTGTTTCAGTATTTTAGAACTTAAGAGTGATGGAGTTGGATATTTAGCTGAGGAGCTTTCTAAGCAAAATGTTGAAGGAATGGCTTGACTCTTTCTGTTTATAGTATGTAAAAATGTAAAAAGAAAGACGTGGGTTACTTTCTCTTTCTCTGTGTAAGGACATGGTGGGAAGGCAGCCATCTGCAAGCCAGGAAGGGAAACCTCACCAGAACCTGACCATAATTGCATCCTGATCTTGGACTTCCAGAAAATAAATTTCTGTTGTTTAAGTCATCTAGTCTATGGTATTTTGTTAGGGCAGCACAAGCCGACTGATACAATGACCAATTGGGATTTATTCTAAGAATGCAAGATTGGCTTAATATCGAAAAAAATCAAATAATGTAATATATCACATCCATATAGTAAAGGACAAAAACCACATGATCATCTCAATAGATGAGAAAAAAACTTGTCAAAATTCAACGCCCTTATGATAAAAAAAATTCAACAACTAGTAATAGAAAAGAATGTCCTCAAGTTGATAACCTCTATGAAGAACCCACATTTAACTTTATACTTGATGGTGAAATACTGTATACCTTCCCAAGGGAAGGAAGTCCAATCTCACTCCTTGTATTCAACATTGTACTGAAGGTTCTAGCGAGGGTATTTAGGCAAGAAAATGATATAAAAGACATCCTGATTAGGAAAACAGTAAAACTATTTCTTTTTGTAGATAGCATGATCATGTATATAAGAAGTTTTAAAAATTCATGAATTAATTAATTTAGCAAGGTTGTAGGACACAAAATCAATATTCAAAAATTGATTGTACTTCTATACAGTAGCCATAAGTATATGAGGAAAGAAAAATAGCTGCATTTGTTGTCAACAAAAAAGATAAAATACTTAGGGATAAATTTTTAAAAATAAGGACAAAACTTAGAGTTTGAAAATGATAAAATATCATTGAAAGAAATTTTAAAAGACCTAAGTAAATGGAAAGATATTCCATGTTCATGGATTGGAAGACACAGTATTGTTAAGATGTCAGTGCTCTCCAAATTGATCTATAGATTCAACACAATCTCTATCAAAATTCTAGTTGCCTTTTTTGAAGAAATTAATAAACTGATGCTACCATTCATATGAAAATGCAAGGAACCCAGAATAGCCAAAAGAAGCTTGAAAAAGAAAAAGCTGAAAGACTCACACTTTCTCATTTTAAATCTATTACAAAGCTACAGTGAACAAGACAGTGTGTTTCTAGTATAAATATAGGTATGGAGGTTAATGGAATATAATTTAGAGTCCAGAAATAAACCCAAACATTTATGGTCAGAAGAATAGTCTTTTCTACAAATGTTGCTAGAGAGTTGGATACCCACATGCAAAAGAGTGAAATTGGATCTTTATCTCACACCATACACAATAATTAATTCAAAATAAACCGAATAACCTAGAATGTAAGTGCTAAAACTCTTAAAGAAAACATAGGTATAAACTTTCATGACCTTGGAAACCCAAGTGGTTTCTTAAATTTAAGACCAAAACACAAGCAACCAAGCTGAAAATCGATAAATTGAACATCATCAAAACTAATAAGTTTTATGCTTCAAATAACGTGACTAATAAAATGTAAAAACAGCCCATAGAGGTAGAGAAAATATTTGGAAATCATATATCTGACAAGTATTTATTATCCAGGATCTATAAAGAACTCTTAAAATTCAACAATTAAAAATATATAACCCAATTTAAAATTGGGCAAAATATTTGAATAAATATTTCTCTAAAATAATACAAATTCCTAAAAAATACATAATCCAAGTAAACACATAAAGTAATACTCAACATCATTTGTCATTAGGGAAATGCCATTCAAAACCACAATGTGATACTTCTTCACATTCAGCAGAGTACCTATAATCAGAGCACTGAAAAATAGCAAGTGTTGGGAAGATTTGGGGAAATTAGAATCCTCACATATTGCTGCTAGAAATTAAAATTGTTTGGCTATTTAGGGAGAGCTTGTCATTTCTTCAGAAAATTAAATCATAGAGTTACCATGAGACCCAATAATTCCACTCCTAGCTATATACCCAAGAAAATTGAAAACATATATTCACACAGAAGCTTGTACACCAATGTTCATAACATTATTCATAATAGCCAAAAAGTGGAAACAGCTCAATGTCCAACAACTGATGAATATATACACAAAATGTGGTAATTGCATACAATGGAATATTATTTAGCTTTAAAAAGGAGTGAATTACTCATACATGTTACAATATAGATGAACTTTAAAACATGCTAAGTGAAAGAAGCCACAAAATGCCACATATCATGTGATAAGACCCCAGGATAGTCATAGCTATAGTAACAGAAAGTTGATTAGCGGTTGCCAGGGACTGAAGGGAGTGAGTACTAATGGGTATGAGGTTTCTTTGTGGACTGATGAAAATGTTGTGGAAATACATAATGGTTGTTGCTGTATAACTTTGTGAATATACTTTTAAAACTTGCTTAATGGTACACTTCTAAAGCGTCCATATTATGGTATGTGCATTATATCTATTTTTTAAAAATACAGTAATCTCTATAGTAGTGAAACTATATAATGAGACTGAATAAGCACAACCTAGAAAGCACAAATGGAAGCTGGCCTCATGATGCTCTTTCTTGGTGATCCTATTATTAATCATCAGGTTAAGCTGCTCCTGATGTGTTCAAGTGATCTCAGAGACAAAACCTCTACTCCAAACACATTATTACCCGCTCTGCCCCTCATCTCTCAGAAGGGCTCTAAGTCCCTGTGCTTGGGAGTGGGGTGAGCCATTTATGTACCAACTCCTTTTGTGCTCTGATGCTGGTGTCTTGGGAACATGCCTACAGTGGTGACTGAAAGCAGAGGGACTGTTTCTGAAGTGATGGGCTGATCTCATTAGTATGGGACAGAAAGTGGCCTCTTCTGAGCCCAGGTCAGTTGACTGTTACGAAGCGAACTCAGTGAGTGCTACATTCTCTCATTTTTTTCTGTGTAGACACTGGAATGGCATCTGTCTGGCCTAAATGCTGCCACTCACCTCAGCCAAACTAAACCTTTCTCTCCAAACTCCCATGTGGACACCTTGGACTATGGAAACTTCTGATTCTGATGGGAATGTTTTGTGTCCTCAGGTTTGACTATGTGGAAAAAAGGATGGGAGTCACTACAGGTTCCAGCCCACTGTGGAGATGCTGATTCTTTGTTTTGACTTCTAGGCAGAACAGCCTCTGAAATGAATCATCTCAAATATCCAGGTATTTTAAGCTTTTAATAGTAGAAAAGAAAAATTCTGTCTTTATTTTTAGGAAATCAGAGTTGAAGTAATATCCTGAATTCTTCTAAAAGTATTTTCCTTCAGGGACTAACCCAACCCAAATCACAAATCATAATCAAAGATTCAGAGCACCATCAGAGCTGATAGATTTTATTCCCCACTGAAGTAAATCTATTAATTTTCATTTTTAAATGTTTTCTTATCCTCATTTGTCTCAACTAGACCCTTATCCTTTCCATATTCTTCCTATTCAATTTTCTTTCTTCCTTCTCATCTCTAAATAAAGGAGAACCAAGACATCTTAAACGACTTACTTGCTACTATTGTGGCCTCTGGAGTCTTCACTTTTTCAGCATTATATTTTTGAAGAGTGAATCCGTGAAGTTAACTTTAGTCTCAATGACTAATAATACTGACCTTCCTCTCAAAGATGATGTGAGAATTAACACCTTATGAGTAATGCTTACAGGAAGAAAAAATTAAGTTACTTAGATATTAAATGATCATTTAGGTAATGTATCATTACTCAAAATGCCCTCATTTGTATTGAACTATATATCTAGATGTCATTATGCTGTCTCAGAAAGAACCCTTCATCATGAGGTGCCCCTAGAGCTTATTTACAAGCTAGAGCTTTGCAGAATATCTATCTTGGCTCGACCAATCCTCCACAGGTCATTCTCATAGTAAGTAAGTAAACAACTGAGTCAGAAATAATTGGCCATGAAGGATATATTTTCTAATTCAAACTAATTAAAATGAATAAACTATGATTCACATGCTTTTAGGAATGCTTTCAGTAAAAGGTATACTCCACCCATTTATTTTTACTTTTAAAAGTGGATCATTGACCTCTCTTTTCTTTGGTCAAGATGCATGAAAGCCAGGGGAGGTGAAATCTGGCTTGCACAATCAGCATACAGGCATACCTTGTTTTATTATGCTTTGCTTTATTGTACTTCACAGATAACTGTGGTATTTTACAAATTGAAGGTTTGTGGCAAAGCTGCATCGAGCAAGTCTTTCGGTGCCATTTTTCCAACAGTGTTTATTAACTTTATGTCTCTGTGTCACACACTGGTAATTCTCACAATATTTTGAACTTTCTCATTTATGTTATATTTGTGATGGTGATTCAGGTTGTCTTTGATGTCGCTATTATAATTGTTTGGGGGGGCCACAAATTGTGGCATGTAAGATGGCAAACATAAATGTGTGTGTTCTGACTGCTCCACCCACTGGCCATTTCCCCATTTATCTCACTCCCCATAGGCCTCCCTATTCCACGAGACACTACAGTATTGAAATTAGACTAATGAATAACCCCACAATGGCCTCTAAGTGATCAAAAGAAAGTCTCTAATAAAATCAAAAGCTAGAGATGATTAAGTTTAGTGAAGAAAGATGTTGAAAGCTGAGGTAGGCCCAAAGCTAGGCCTCTTGTGCCAAACATTTAGGCAAATTAGAAAGGCAAACCAAAAGTTCTTGAAGGAAATTAAAAGTGCTACTATGGTTAACCCACAAATGATAAGTAAAACGGCTTTATTGCTGATATGGAGAACATTTTAGTGATCAGGTTAGAAGATCAAACCAGCCACAACATTCCCTTATGCCAAAGCCTAATCCAGAGCAGAGTCCTAACTCTCTTCAATTCTATGAAGGCTGAGAGAGATGAGGAAGCTGCAGAAGAAAGGTTTGAAACTAGCAGAACCTGGTTCATGAGGTTTAGTGAAAGAATCCACCTCCATAACATGAAAGTACATGGTGAAGCAAAAGTGCCAGTGGAGAAACTGTAGCAAGATAGACAGAAAGATCTAGCTAAGATAACTTATGAAGGTGGCCATACTAAACAACAGATTTTCCATGTAGATAAAACAGCCTTCTATTGGAATAAGATATAATCTAGGACTTTCATACCTAGAGAGGAGAAGTCAATGCCTAGTCCAAAGCTTTGAAGGACAGGCTGACTCTCCTATTAGAGACTGATGCAGCTGGTGACTTTAAGTTGATGCTAATGCTCACTTATCATTCTAAAATTCCTAGGCCCTTTAAGAATTATGCTAAGTCTACACTACCCATGCTTCAGAAATGGAACAACAAAGCCTAGGAGACATGTTTACAACATGATTTATGGAATATTTAAGGCCCCTATTGAGATCTACTGCTCAGAGAGAGAGAGAGAGAGAGAGAGAGAGATTCCTTTCAAAATATTACTGTTCATTGACAATGTACCTAGTCACCTAAGAATTCTGATGGAGATATATAGTGGGATTAATGTTTTCATGCCTACAAACATCCAGCACCATCCATTCTGTAGCCCATGAATCAAATAATTTTGACTTTCAGGTCTTACTATCTAAGAAATACGTTTTGGAAGGCCACTGCTGCCATTATTTTGTCCAGATCCATCAGACGATGGATTGAAGAATTGAAGAATACTTCTGGAAAAGTTTTCCCATTGTAGATGCCATTAAGAACATTTATGATTCATGGGAAGAGGTCAGAATATCAACATTAACAGAACATGGAAGAAGCTGATTGCAACCCTTACAGATTACTTGTAGCAGTTCAAGACTCCAGTGAAGGAAGTAACTGTGGATGTGGTAGAAACAGCAAGAGATCTAGAATTAGAGGTGGTGCCTGCAGGTGGGCCTGAACTGCTGCCATCTCATGAGAAAACTTGAGCAGATGAGGAGCTGCTTCTGGTGGCTGAGCAAAGACAGTGGTTTCCTGAGATGGAATCTACTCCTGGGGAAGATGCTGTTAAAACTGTTGAAATGACAACGAAGTACTCAGAATATCATATAAACTTAGTTGATAAAGCAACAATAGGGTTTAAGAGGTTTGACTCCAGTTTTGAAATTCCAGTATGGGTAAATGCTATCAAACAGCACTGCATGCCACAGAGAAACCATGCATGAAAGGAAGAACCAGTCAATGCATCAACTTCATTGTTGTCTTATTTTTTAAATTGCCCCAACCTTCAGCAACAACCACCCTGAACAGTCAGCAGCCATCAATAGCAATCAAGACCCTTCATCAACAAAATGATTATAACTTGCTGAAAGCAAAGATTATGATCAGCATTTTTAGCAATAGAAGTATTTTTTAATTAAGCAATATACATCTTTTAGACATACACTATTGCACACTTAAGAGACTATGGTATAATGTAAACATAACTTTTACACTTCCTAGAAACCCAAAAAATTCATTTGACTCACTGTACTACAATATTCACTGTATTGTGGTGGGCTGGAAGTGAACCTACATTATCTCTTGGGTATGCCCATGTAATTTCAGTGTCTAAACCACTGTTTCGTCCTCTAGTAGTTCTCTTTTCTTGCCACACTTTACAGAGTAGTTTCTTCAGTTTTTACCTGTTGATGTGTGTTCTTTGAAAGCTCCCTGATTTTTTCTGCTCATGACAGAACAATTTCCTATAGCTAATATTTCATGTGCTCTTTCATTAGAAAATGAATTGATATTTCTGTAGATCTTGCTTGAGTAGTTGGTTTATGAGGCAATACATCATCATTAAAATTCTCATCTATTCAGGTCAGCTCTGTATACCTAATTAAAGCCCAATGCTTTTACATTTGAAATGACACTTCAATTTACAAGAAAAGCTTCAGTTGGCATTTTCAAACCCTCAGCTTTTTCCCTAAATTGTGACTGTACCACAGATTCATCTTGTTTTGTGAGCCTTTGCCTATTCCAAAGCTTCTCTATGTGAGTTCTTTAAAGGTCTGGTTAACAAGGTTTCCACCCCTTTACATCAACTAGGGAACGATGCGTTATCATTGCTAATAATTATTAAGGCTGAGTTGATTTATGGTTTTATCCTGGGGTCCGTTTTAAATGGAATGGTATCTACATGATGCCATGATCATCAATTGAAGAGTTTTAGGAAGCAGTTAATCTTTTGGTTATGTTGTCTGGATTTTTTTTTTTCTTTTTACAAAATTAAATGCTTTGATTGGGTCATACAAACTGTCTATTTTAGGCTTAGGTGAGTCTCTCATTTGTCCTAATCACTGTAGTAAATATTTGTGGGAGATAATTTATCATCATTTTGAGATGACAACATAGTCTTGCTGAGTCAAGAAGAGTTGCTCTATTAAACTGATACACTAGTAAAAAGTGAGAAAAATGTACCATAAAACATTTAAGTTTTTCAGTTGTCACCAGATGAGAGTGATGTGTTCAGTGACAGCATCCTGTCCCTCTGATTTTGCTTTTCCAGGTTAAAGTCTTTCTTTCTCTTCTAGCCAAAGCATCATCATTTTCCCATTTATTTTCAGCCTTTGAATGTGATGATAGGATTTCATGCATGGCTTTTGCCAACTGCTTAAGTCCAAATACTTTAACTCTAAAAATTGGTATAATCATATAGAAGCAACAGTTGATGTGACAATGTTTATAATGTTTCTTGAGATCTGCAGTTGTTGGTGTTGTAACAATGTAATATGAGTTGTTACTGAGAATCTCTATATTCTCTAAATCAAGTTTAAAGAGATTTCAACCTCTTTCTTGTGGACCCAGAATGTTTTTAGAAATTCTCACAAGGAAACCAGCTCCTTATTTTTTAAAAAATTGAAAGAATGCCTGAATATTTATCCAGAAGTAGTTTAAGAAAGAGCTGGGTTTGGGGGGGATTTGTTTTGCAAGGGATTAGAAATGGAGTTCAAACTACAAACTAGAATTTTTTCAGTATTCCAGAAAAGGATCATTGGTATATTAGAGGAAAGGATTTAAGAAATGGCAGGAAATCAAGAATTATTAATGGGAAAATAAAAACAGAATGGTACTATTATATAGAGTTTATATACATGCAGAGCTTTAAAGTTTAAAAAGTATTTCTGTATACTAATTCAGTCCATTCTCACAACATCCCCATGGGACAGATGGGGCAAAATCTATGTTTTATGTTTGAGAAAACTGGTATCTGGGGAAGCTAAATAATTTGCCCAAGATTCCATGGCTACTCTCTTTTTTGAATCAGGACTTGAACATGTATCTTCTGATTCTCGGAGTGATTGTACTGTGCTTTAGAAAGGAAGATAGAACTTTTGCTTGCATAAAAAAGATAATATTTCTAACAATTTGCTTTAAGAGGAATTGCTGTCTTTATACCTTAACAGGGATATCCCGAGTACTTGGTCGATGAGAATACATTGGCCCGCACAAAGGTTACTCCAATCACCTGGTTCTTCGGTGTTCATTTTGGTCAGGTGAAGCCTGAACCCCCAAGGAAGAGGAATCTGCTTTTAGAGTTTCACTGGATTGTCCTAAGTCAACTGTGTGATATCATTATTGTCACTTCTCTTTTTTTTGAAGATTTTATTTATTTTTTATT